GCCATCAAGACCCAAGTTAAGCTAACTAAAGCTTGTGTTATGGGTAGTCGACAGTTGATACAAATACATAATTATTTTTTTCTTAACTACATACATATTATACATAGAAAATACCCAGACCGATACAAACAATCATACTCATGAATACAAAGTTTGTACTGTGCGAGGAATCAAACCAGCAACCATTGAAAGTATATTGGCGGGTTAAACTGCTAGATCACCGACAGCGTCAAGTATTACTATTATTGTCAACTGATAATATAACTAAAAATAAAATAATATAACTGATATATATCTTACATTACTAAGCAATGGGACCAAAAAAATTGACAAATATCGTATTACATGTATGTTTGATTTGCAACATTCATAATTTTAGACGGTTCTAAATATTTTTAACAAATTTTGTACATAAAATATCATTGTTGGAAATGCTAAAACTATAACAAAACGATGTTTACAGATTACAAAACATTAAAATCTGAACCGCAAAGTAATATGAATCATTCGTATATTATTAATGTACCTACTGTATTTACTGATATATGTTATGGGTAGTTATCAGTTGATAACTACCCATAACAGAAGCTCTGCTTAGCATGGAACTCCACGGTGATTTGTCCTAGTATATTAAAAAGACCATCCTTCCTTCATTCCTCTTTCCTCCTTCATCCTTCATCCTTCATCCTTCATACAGGTCATTATAATGACCTAGTAAGGACAGCAGTGACATAATGTTATGTTGAGACTTAAATATTATATCTGTTTCTACTTTTTTAATATACTCTGTTTTTTTTGTAATTTATATTGTCTTACAAAATGTGACGTGTATATCTGTTGCTGTAAAAAAATAAAATTTATTATTATTTATTAAAGAAGTATTCTCGGGTATATTTAGCATGGGACTGGACAATTAGTCATTGTCCTAAAATATTAAAAAGCACTCCTAATAAGATCGAATTCTAAAATTTACCACACTTGATTGAGGGCAAAAGTGTGATCTGATCACAGTAAGTCAACACACAATTTACATGCAATCCCACTCGTACACTCAAACTTGTGTGGTATTCACACGCCGCGGCGCGCGGTGGCATCTGATTGCAAAACCAGTACAAATAGCATTCAGTCCGCAAGTGGTATATTTAATTGTTCGGTAATTAATACTTATCGTTCTCACGGAAAGTGCGGGGGCTTAGTAGGTTTACAATTACAACTCAGACCTTAAGGTCCTGAGTACAAATCTACAAAGATCAAAACACTCTATAGTTTAATATTACTCGGTCTAAATTTAAACCCTTAAAGAATACATTAAATAATGTTATCGTACCACCCGCCAGAAACTAAAATACCATCCTGATCATCTGGATGAATGGCGGTCCTCCACGGTGCGGTTTTCTAGAAACTTTTTGCCACGCAAAACCACATTGTGGAATCACCTTCCAGCAATGGTATTTCTGAACCAATACGATGTTTAAACCTTCTAGAAGAGTTTATCCCTTTTTAAAAGGCTGACAATGTACTTGCAATTCCTCTGGTGTTACTTTTGGGCGGCGGTATTCACTTACCAACACGTGAGCCATATGCCCCTGTGTTATAAAAAAAATCTTAGAACTTATTTGTTATGTCGATGAAAATATGATACAGACACTTATACTCTTGATTCTGAAACAATAACTTTATGAATGATGGTCCCGCCTGCACTAACGGTGTACGCTGGCGGGGCACCAGTGGAGGATGATAGAATGAGCATGAGGTCAGATCAGTTAGTATATCGTGGCAAATTCACAAAAAAAATATTACGATGACTTCGAGGAGGAACCCCGTGGAAATCAACCTATATAACTACATAACTAACCTTTAATATCCTTCCTCCTAATTAAAAAAAGGTTAATAATCTTATTAATAATACTAGCTACTCGCCCTGGCTTCGCACGGGTGTACATGTATTATATATATAAACCTTCACTTCATCTACCTTCAATCACTCTATCTACTTAAGAAAACCGCTTCAAAATCCGTTGCGTAGTTTTAAAGATTTAAGCATATATAGGAACGAACAGACAGCGACTTTGTTTTATACTATGTAATAATGATAAACGCGAAAGTTTGTGAGTGCGGATGGATGTTTGTTACTCTTTCACGCAAAAACTACTGAACGGATTTTGATGAAACTTTACAGTAATATAGCTGATACATCAGAATAACATATAGGCTATAAATTTCTCACGTGTGAAACCGCGGGCACAGCTAATATTAGATATTTATAAACATTACCCACAAAATTTCACATAATGTATGTATATAGGGTAAATGAACCATTATCGGGCATCGAACGTGCTACCAACAAGTGTCACGTATCACGTTGTTGGCACGTTTTGTGTGATATCTACCATCTACTGACCAGTGTAGGAGTGGTTGCAACAACTGAAACACTAATTATGTTTAATACTATCTAACCTTTAGCGATATCTTACTGTTACTGCAGTACAGCTATTTAATGTAAGTAATCTTGTGTAAAAGCGATTTATAAATAACTAGCTGTTACCCGCGACATAGCTTATATGTATGGTATGATTAATAATGGATACTATAGGGGGATTGTTATTTATGGGAATTAGTGACCCCATTGCTAGCACGTTAGGTCGACATCGGCATCGTGATAAATTCCTGTTAGTTTGACCTCGTGCTCATCTCATCATCCTCCACTGGTAGAGCTAGCCTATACGCACATAGGTCACCGTAAAATTATCTTCCATTAAAAAAAATAACATTTAAACCTTACACATTCAACAAACGCGATACACATTATAACGAAATACTTAAATTACAACAAGCAATGATATACATTATATACATAATACAATACAATGCAAGAACAAAACCAAAAGAAAATCAAAACTGTAAAATAATGAAAGAACAAAATGCAGTACGAAATAATAGAAGAACAATAAATAGATAAAAATACAAAGGGAAATTTTTATACACATACACATACACATAGCCACGTTCTCGCGTGTGCGTCGCAATGATTTTTTTATACTGCCATGGTGGCAAACAAACATAGCCTATCGGATGGTAAACGGTTATGGTAGTCTATGGATGCCTGAAACACCAGGAATGTTACGTGCGCATCGCCGACCCTTAAGAAACCTTAATATACCCTATTTGAAAAACCCCTCGCTGTAGTCGTGCGAGAAAAACTCGGCAGGTAGTTCAGTCTGCAAAAACAAATGAAGTGTACGCGGGAGGAAACTCCCCTGAAATATCACTGTCCGAGACCATTTATGTAGGTTCCAACGTGTAGGGATGAATTTGATTTGCTTTCGTATCTAGCGGTGATTGATCAGTAAATTCATCATCATTGATCAATAAGGTACTCTTTGGAAAATAAATGCTATAAATTTTTATGCAATTAATTACAACACATGTAACATGTATCTCGCTCACTCGCAAAGTTCTCATAGATTCTTGCTATGATTGATAACTTAATTCAATTGGCTATCCTTGACACCTTGTAAATGGCTATTAAAACATCAAACACGTTTATTTTGTGCCAAATCATACGCAATCGTGTATAATTTAGTACGTACTTATGCCATAATTATATGCTTTAAAAAGTACATAATAATATAAGTATACATTTGAAATTTATTTCGTAACATAAAATTTAAAATACCTTCTATTCGATTGTATTGATTATAGTGTGCGATTATTTCCTCATTCATTTAACATTTAATAAACTATATTTACCACTTCGGGGTTTGAAAAGCGACTTAAGGTCCTATTTTCTGACCTACTAAATATGTACACAAAAATTTGGTAATTTCTTATGAAATATTGTACACATTTAGTACTGTATTGGTCAAGTCGATTCGGAGGAGTTTTGTTACAAACGTGGACAATAGATTTTGTATATTAGATTATATATTATACAGATCTAATTCAGTTTGTATCGAAGGAAATTCTTTCTGTGACATCTGCATGTTTTCTAAGTCTGAACAAATAAAAATATATTTGTCCTTTTCGTACTCACACATGTCTGAAAAACAAATCATACCTACACTGTACCCACTGTGAAACTCTTAGAAACAAGTACAGATGTACTTACATTAATGCCGCTGTATTTAGACGTTCACCTTGTGATGTTGAACCGTATTGTTATTCAGAACGCGGCGATAATTCTAAATGACATTTAGTCGTTATAATCAATCTGGTTGCTGGTTCACGAGACCGGTCTGTACTATTATAGTACGGTAAAGGGTAGTTGTGTTTAGTAGTATCTTTATTCAAATCTATAATTTGATGTGCCCTTTATTAAAACTGCTTATTATATGGGATATGTTTTTTATGGATGATAATGGGCTTGGCTAACGGTTTACGCTGGCGGTGCATCAGTGGAGAATGATAAGATTAATAGGTATGACGTGAAGTTAGTTGGCTTATCGTGACAAATTCACGGGGAATTTATTATGATGCTTTCGAGGGTAACCTCGTGGAGGTGGTACAGTGCTAGCTATAGGATCATCCTATTAGCTAGCAATGGATTCCTCCCTATATGAGATATTAAAAGAGTTTCTTACATTCATGTATTACAATTTTTCGGTTCGACACAAGTAGGTATAATATTTTATCCTTTTTTTATGTTATTATAAAGGGACAGCGAATTTTTTTATATGCAAAGTAAATTCCGAACCAATTTATTTTTATTTATTTATAACTTTACTGCACCGACATCTAAGGATTGGAAAAAAAATATTAAGAATAAAATTGTATACAAAATACGGGCCTATCGCTGCTGCAATTACTTCCAGACGAAGTTTGTAAAGAAAGAATTTACAAATATTAATAGAGCTGCGCTCTTAAATAATTAATTAATTAATTAATTTTGATATCGTGTCTTATATGTAAATCTCCAAACAGATCTTGGGGGCTCTTTTCTTCTGCATGCAATGAATTGTTATTCATGATTGATGGTATTAATATTTTCTAATTTGTTACAGAGATGGCAACGGAGATGGTTCGTCCTATACGACGATGGAGAGCTCACCTACTCATTGGACGAACATGTAAGTATTTATTTATATTGGTTTTACTATATTAGCTGTACACGCGACTTCTTCCGCGTGGAATTTAACTTTATTTTTCTAAAATAAAGGTAGCCTAAGTTACTCCTTATTACATCAGTTGCCTGCCAATAAAAGTCCCGTCAAAATCCGTCCAGCCATTTCAGAGATTAGCCGGAACAAACAGACAGACAGACAAAAGTTGTAGAAAATGTTATTTTGGTCTATGTACCGTATATATATTCATATGCATGTAGTAAAAAACGGTTATATCAATATTACAAACAGACAATCCAATTTCATTTATATGTATAGATTACTAGTATATTTACGCTTTTACTATGTCTACATACATACCGTCGTGACTTAACTATCGATTTATATAGTCTGGGATGACTCCCAAATGGCCATTCAGAGTATATACAATTATTTGAATTCTACTCATGTAAGCAATAATTTCATAACATATATTGCATTAAATATTTACTATATATTATACTCAGTTCACATCATTACAACTACAGCGTTGGATGTACAAGTCCTATACAATTACTATAAAATACATATAAGTAACAACTCAGTAGTTTTTATAATATACACAGCAATATAAATATGAGTTAATCAACTAATCAAGACTTTTAATGTTATCTATAAAGTCACTTTTAATCGTTTAAAGTACACAAAGAATGGTAAAATACTAGCAGATTTATTTATTATCGTAGAAGATAGATGATTGACAATTTGTCATCTAAACATTCATACATACATCAGTGTTTAGCGAATACGATCACGCTCGTGTTTGTAATTAAAAAGATTGTATCCATTCCATAGTCGAACTCACATGCTGTATCAAATCTATTACATTTTTCCCTGGTATTCATAAATATTCATAATTACTTGCAACGCTGTATAAAGTAACTTGACGGGCGCCTATCGCTGTAAAAGGCAAAGGAACGTCGAACGAAAGGTATAAAAACCAATATAAATATGGTATAATCAACTAATCAGCTCCTATGTTAGATAAAAGTCACTTTTAATCGTTTAAAGTACACAAAGAATGGTAAAAAATTGCCTTAAATAAAGCAGATTTATTTATTATCCGTCAGACAATTTAAAATACAATTTTTAAGATGTTATTTATAACAGGAGATTTTACGCACAACTACATTGTAAATCATTTAAATGTTTGAGTTATAGATATTGAAAATCATTCATTCAAATAAACTTACATTGAAGTTTTTAAATAGTCACAACGTTTTTTTTTAATTCTCCTGGTGTTCGGAAAGCTGTCTAATCACAAGAAGAATGAGCAAGAAACTTGCGTTTGTCTCTTTTAAATAATTATATTATTATATGAGTACAAATAAAAGTTTAAGTGTGTGAGATAATTACCAGGTCAGACAATTAAAAATAGATTTTTTTAAGATGTTGCATTTGGAGAATTTTAGGGAACTACAACTAAAATTTAAAATGTTTGAGTTACGGTATTTTATAGCATTGATATTGTCCAAAATTTAATAAATTTAAAGAGTTGACTGGTTATCAATAGGACGGTAGTCGACGGTATAAGTATTGAAATAAACACTGAAATTAATATAATATAATGAATTTGTTTTTAATGGATTACTTAATATATGTTAATACAGTAGATAAGATTGTTTACTAATAAAGAAAATAAAAGATTGTTTATGTCACGTATAAAAAAACCGTGTAACTGTATGTAGACGGCGACAAAATGTCGAATGGGAGGTTTCAACTCGTCATGTTACCACATCAGAATTTATTTACGACTTCAAACTAGTTCGATGCTCACGTAACATCACAATAAATAAATAATTGCACACCGATTAATCTAAGCATCATAATTATTATGTATCTTGATGGGAAAGGACACATAAATACCAGTTTTTGAAGATCCGTGTCTCCAAATGTTGCTAAAGTCTGTGAGTATGAATGGAAAGATAATAATAATAATATAATAATAATCTTAAGACAATTCACACAGCGCCATCTAGACCCAAGTTAGGCTAGCTAAAGCTAGCTAAAAAGTTATGGGTACTAGATAACTGATACTTAGATTTTTTTTGTATATACATACATATTATGCATAGAATACACCCAGACCGATACAAACAATCATACTCATGAATACAAATGTTTGTGCCGTGCGAGGAATCGAACCCGCGACCATCGGACGTAAAGCGGTGTGCTAGACTGCTAGACCACCGAGGTCATCAAAGATGGATGTTTGATACTCTTTCACGCAAAACTACTGAATAGATTTTAATGAAACTTTACAATAATATAGCTTATACAACAATTTAATAGCTAGTATTAAATCGTTCTCTAAAAGTATTATAGATGCTCTAGCGGTTTAGCATTATGCTTTATTTCGATCTGGTTCGATTCCTCGCAGGGGTACAAATATTTGTATTCATGCGTATGGTCGGAGTGTTTTCTGTGTACGTTATGTATCTATTTATAAAAAAATACCAAGCTAAGCAGTGCTTGTGTTGTATGACAAGCCATAACACTAGCTCTGATTAGCTTGGGACTAGATGGCGCTGTGTGAATTGTTAAAAAATGATCAGGATAACTTTCACTTGACGTGAAACATTAACCTGACTTGGCGTATTCTTTGCATTTGGACCAAGGATTCTCATTTCTTCTTCAGACAGTAAATAATAATTTGATACAGATTATTTATCAATTGTCACACAGAATTCGTTAGTCTTTTTATACATGAAATGTTTACTTTTAATCAATCATACGGAACCTTTACAAACATATGAGTATATTTATACACACATGTAACAACTTCCTGTAGACTTGCTTTCGTATTATGTAACATTTGCGTTATGGTGATAGTAAGTTTTAAAACTTGTTTAAGTTAATTTTTACTACGTACCGTTATATGTCTCCTTATGGCGATAGAGCAAGAGTACAATATATCACTGTTACCGATATTATTATCTCACTAACACCTTTTCTATTAGGCACAATGTGTCACTATATTTTTATAATATGTTCACAAATGTTCTTTGGTCTCTGACGAGGGGCTTCTTCTCGCGTACACTTAGATTGTGGATCACCTGCCGATTTTTTCTTGAGAGACTACAGCCTTGTGGTTTTTCAAGAAGCGTGAATTAAGGTTTTTAGAGGCGGCAGCGCCCACGTGGAACTCCTGATGTTTTCGGCGTCCATAGGGTAAACGTTTACTATGTTTACTCTATGCTTATTTGCCACTATTGTAGTATAAAAAAATCTATCTTCATACTTTTTTTCTTTAGACCTTCGATATTTTTCTAACCAGTTTTTGACCGCGGCTTCGCTCGCGTTAATCCCCTTAGGGGTGGAATTTATCAAAATCTTTTCTTAGGGGATGCCTACGTCATAGTAGCTTTTTTTTTATGGATGATAATGTAATGGTGCACCCGCCTGCGCTAACGGTTTACGCTGGCGGGGCACCAGTGGAGGATGATCAGATGAACATGAGGTCAGGTTAGTTAGCCCATCGTGACATATTTACCGGAAATTTATCACGATGGTTTCCAGGGGGAACCGCGTAGAGGTCAATCTGACATGGTACATTGCTAACAATGGGGTCATGAGTCCACATTACTAACAATCCCCTTCCATAGTAGCTTTATGCATGCAAAGTCTCAGCCCGATCTGTTTAAAATTGACAAAGTTTCATACAAACTTTCATCCCCTATTATATCCACTTGGGGGTAGAATTAATCAAAATCCTTTCTTAGCGGATGCCTACGTCATAAAATCTACCTGCATGCCAAATTTCAGCCCGATCCGTCCAGTGATTTGGGCTGTGCGTTGATAGATCACTACGTCAGTTACCTCTGAGTTATATATATTTAGATGTTGTGTTGATGATCATGAGAAGTATTTAAAGTTGGATACATTACAATATTTCAAACTTATATCTTGTAACTTGTAATACATACACATGCCCCGCACTTATAATACATACATTTCTGTTTGTCATATTGGTTTATGTTCATTTTTAATTATTATTAAAAAACTAATGCATACGTTGTGAATATTTGTAATGAACTTGTTTAATATACTCTTTTAAATTTGACCCGGTCAATTAGGAAACTGAATCACGGGTAAACTGAAGTGCTCGTGACGGTTGTAAAACTGCCGAAATATCGGCTTAAAAATAAATAAAACGTGCTAACATCCTGTGATTTCTTCTAATTGTTGTATAAACGTGATTAATATTTCCATTAAGCTCGTAATAACGCAATGGTCGTACTACATCACCTGGAAGTTGTACACCTTATGCATATGCAAACTCGGCTCACATAAATTAATGTGATAGCTAATGAGAAACGCGGAACTGAACGAAACAGGAACGGTGTGGGTGCAGCGCCAACCTTCATGCATCCACTTATGATTTATGACTAATATGAATAGGTATATCAATGTATTGACTCAATAGAAAACAAGATACAGCCTCCGGCCAGTTTCAAGAGGGAAATCAAGGGCTTCAATATTTAATACCTATCCCGCGCAATGTCTGCATCTCACTTACTTGATATGTTACTTGGGCCGTATTATTATTAGGCCTATTAAAAAACAAGAGATCACTATAAAGTCAGGGCGTTTATTGTTTCTATATTTATCAGACCTGCGCAACTTTGCCTACATATGCATATCACTTACTTGACATTTATCATTATATTTTTCTAATTTACATAATGTCTTCTTAAATTATAGACTATGTATTATTCTGATTCAGATTTTAATGCAACTTTACTGTAATGCCATATTACTGTAAAGTTGCATTAAAATCTGTGAATCTGTGTGTGTGTTTGTTACTGTTTCACGCAATAACTATTGCGTGAAACAGTAACAAACATCCATCCATCCATATTCACAAATTTTCGCGTTTATAGTATGAATAAGAAGGACCATAATTGAAGATAAAGAAAAAAGAAAGTAAATAAATAAAAATTACAATTGAAAACAAAAAACATATG